ATTCTATGGTATTGATATAGTAATTTATGATTTTTTGATTATTCAACTGTATATATAAAACCTTAAAAGAGTTATTTCAATTCATATCCTTCATGTGCAAAATTTTAAAAGGTTTAACACCTACATTTTATAAAATACTAGTCCACTAAAGCTCAGGTCACTTTGTAAAGACTAAAGGTCAGTTTTATATTATTAAATACAGTAAGAGGAGTGCACGTGTGCCGTGTCAGTGTAACTTCTGTATTGTTAGCCAGGCATGACTGGAAGGTCAATATAATAAAAATAATAAATATATATCAATATATAATGTTATGAGATTTATGCTATTTAGACTAAACATTTGTATTTTCGTGTTATAATCTGTAGTCATTCTAGAATAAAAGAACATAATTTATATTTATTTCCTAATTTTTTATGGTGGTTACAAGGTCAGTCAAATTGACAGACCCTCATATAGTTAGGGTAGAGAAAATAACAGAAACAATATAAAGTTTTACTGAAAACATACATTTGAAATGTATTTAGGAGGTTTTAGAGATTACATAAATAATATTTGAGTTTTTTGGGACGAAGAATAGTTTTTAATCATAACATGAAAATCACTTGACACTTGGACTAGTAATGAAACAAACTCGATATTTTCACAAACAAATCTTTAATAATAATAATACTTCTTTGAAAATCTGATTTTTTGTGTACAAAAGACTTGGAATCATTACTAAAAGTCTACCAAATTTTGTGAAGTTACACATACAGCATTAAAAGTTATAGTATAAATACTTAACGTGTACAAATGTGTATACAAACTCATGTGTTTTATACCAAGCCTATCGTGAAAGGGTTAAAAAGTGGTATTGGTGATCAGATATTTTTCTTTTAGAGCGATCTTAATTTCTTTGTCTTTTCTTGTACTTTTTTCACAATACAAGGTATTCTGGACTGTTATTTAAGTTTTCTCTTTTTTTTTTATAAATGAATTTTATGTACTTTATTAGTTCAAAGGATTTTGGTTTCTTTGGTAACTGTAAGTGTAAATAAAACCAACTAGAGGGAATCATAAATATATAGAAAAGTATCCTCTTAAAGAGAGATGGTAAACTGAGTGTGTGTGAAGAAAAAATAGTTTTTAAGTGTGCAGGAGTGAACTGATGATTTATTAAAATAATAAAATGAATGACATTTAAATTTGGGAAGTGATCAAACTGTTAAGCTTATTTCATTGTGAGTATTTATTTACCCATCCACAAGTATGTATGTCTGTTCATTATCTTAGCTAAATAGTTTTATAAATATGGAATACACTGATTAATAAATTGTATATATATAGATATTGAAAAATAACTATAGAAACTTCTACAGCGGTGAAAGTAATAAATCTTTATAGACACAGATCAAATGATAATAAGACTTAATCTGCTTTGTTTCAACCAAACAATATTAACTACTTGAGTAAAAATGGACTTTAATGTGTATGGATAAAATGTGAAATTTACTTGTAGTTATCCTTTATCCTCAACACTCATAATCCCTTCTGTCAAATTGCTGTGGATACATTTGTTATCCTCATACTTGTCAATAAACCTTGATATAAAAAAAAATTAAGAAGATCTACCCTAAGAAAAGTAACAATTTGTTTGTTGAGAAAATTATTGGTAAATGATGTTGTTATTATGCACTTCTTATTGTACATTGTTGATGATCATTTAATTATTTTGTACAGGATTTTGTACTTAATTATAAGTGGATTTTCTTTAACTGCATTATTGAATGGAATATATTCTCTCAGGCTATAGAAGCAACTTTCCATCAACACACTATGCACATTTGTGAAAACATTACACACATTGTCCAGCATCTGGGCTACATAGCTCTTACAGCTATTAATGCAGCAAAGGTTAGTGTGGCATTTTCTTGCATACTTATAACATTCTTATCTCAAATTATTCAGTCTATAAATAAACTAGCTGTTATAAAATAATTAAAAGGTGTATTAGTTTCATACTACTCGCCATCTGAGTGATATGTTTCTAAACTTTAGTTGTTAGAATCAGAAGGACTAATTTCCTGTTGTCCTTTAACTAGGACACATATTCTAATTTTGCAATTTTTGTTATATATAAGGTCAGTTTTGTGATATTCAATGTTCATGATAACGTATGCACCTTTAATCTTACTATAGCTGCTGATCAGGCAAAGCTGAGACTTATTTTGTTTAATATCTATGTTACACTTCTTAACCTTCTTTTCCCAGGTGTCTTTTTTTTATGTGTTTGTCACAAGATTTCAGTAAGTTAAATTCAGAATTTAATTAAACTACTTCCTTATCATGGTATATGCATAAATTTAGTATAAGGATGTAGCTACTACGAGTATGTAAATTGTAAGTTCTTAGTTTCGTAAGGCAATATTAAAAAGTTATATCCTGAATTTTCCCTAGTAGGAAAATTGTGACATTTTCTCTCTAGGCAACCTCTCTTCTCGAATTTATTTACCACCCCTTCAAGAAGTACAAAATTTAACATAAATTACTCATTATAATGTCATCATCACTCAGGCAAATCATAATTTTATACCATTCAATCTTATTTGGTTACAGAATCATCAAATAGAAAACCAGACTACTCTTGCCACTCCCACCTGTCACGTCCTCTCTTTCAGAAGTTGTCAAAGTTTTAGTATATCAAATGACGTATTATATTAAGTTATTTCTGTACAGAGAATTGTCAATTTTGCTTTCAGTTTAAGCTTTATTGCCAGGGGGATACATCAACAAGGTTAGATGAATTGTTAATGGCTCTTGTTGCATAGTTAGAAAGCCAGAAAAATTTATATTTATGGAACATTGTCTGTTGTTTTGCACATTATTATTCTGTATTCTTTGGTGCATTATTTGATTAAAGAAAAAATTTTTAGTGCAGTACTACCATTAGTGTAAAAAAGTAAGGTTAAGTGTCATCGACAGTTGACAGCAAAAAACAGAAATTGAAGATCCAGGTAAGTACTTTATTTCTTGTTTTTCTTGTGTATTCTTTATTTGTTATTATAAAAGTAACTAAAATGTGAAAATTGGAAATTTCTAGGTTAAATCAGGCAAAATAAAGAATAATAATAAGAAACAAGTTTCATGAGGGATGCTCACAAGCAACTCATCTGTAATGTAGTTCAATAGAGTAACATGATCTGTATGTTTGCCAAGTGATTTACAGCTGATATGGTGCAATTATTAGTTGCTGTTACGAGTTTAAAGCTATTTAGGATAAGCAAATGTAGTTTCACATCACAATTTGAAGTCATACGAGATAGAAAAAAAGGGGTAATTTAGGTTTATTTCGATTTTTTTTATTGGTGGTTACAAGACCGGTCAAATTGACCAACCTTGAATAGAATTAGGGTAAAGAAAATAATAGATAAAATATAAAGTTTTACTGAAAGAAAAAACGTTTTAAATTTGTTTAGGTAGTCTTAGAGTTTACGCAAATCAAATTGGAGATTTTTGAGGTTAAGGAAAGTATTTTTATTTTTAACATGAAAATCACTTTGCACTTGGACTAGTCAAAAAAAGACTTGATATATTCATGGACAAATCTTTAGTAAAACTACTTCATTGAAAAAAATGACTTGTCTTGTACAAAGGATTTGTAATATTTACTGAAAGTCTGCTAAGTTTTGTGAAGATTCACATATTATATTAAAAGTTATAGTATGGAAACTGTAATGAGTACTCCATGATTACAAACTTGGTCAAATTGACCAAGCCTGTAGCAATAAAGTTAAAAGTTACAGATGGCTAATCTGAACTTATTTGTCCAACATTTAGAAGAGAGATTTCTAAACTTAAGATTATACATCTGAACCTGCAGTTGCTGATTCACTTAAGTTTAGATTTATGTTGCTCATCATCCTGTGTGCATAATCTTAATCTAACAGTCTGATTATTTTCTGTTTTGCCTACAAGCTGAAAAATGGTATTTTACTCAAATATAAGCTACTTAAGTTTGCTTTCTGAATTGTGTATGTATTATACATTGTAATGTTTTTACCTGTATTTCTTTAAAAACAAATAAATTGAATATTGATATTATCCTGAGTGCTTTTTAAAGTTTGCAATTTTTTTTTTTTCATTTATATTTTATGGTATGCTTGGAAGATGGTAGCATTAAAAATTTATACCACATATGTTGATGATACAAAAATGTTCATGGTTGAGATAAGAAATGTCTTTGTGTACATTAATCATTCTGAATTCCTTTGTATTAGGAAGATGCAGTACAGGAACAGTGTTTATTTAAGGAAAAAATTTAAAAATATTGTATATTTGCAATAATATTCATGGTAAAACTGGCTTAAAATAGTTGTTCAGAAATAATTTATGTTTAAATATAATAGCTTAAGGTAGCACTGACCTTTAAAGAGTGCCCCCAATGTTTCAAAAAGTCACTTTTTTTTCAAATTTAGCCTAAATCGAAATTTTAATTTATTTTTTACATAAATAACTCATTTTTGTCTTAAAATCTTTACTAACTAACCTGTAGTAAGTTAATAAAAGTCTGGTTTGTTTTAATTTTATTTCCACTTCACCATTACAGCCAATATCAGCATGAAATTTAGCACACTTGTTAATGTTACACTCTTCCATAGCTTGAATTTTTTAAAATTCAAAAATCTTTACCAATTATCTTATTATGAGTGTAATTACCATTAACAAAGGCATTAATTAAAATTAATTACCCATACCTCATCAATATTGCAGAAAATTTGCAAAGTTTTTAATTCAAGCTATGATGATGTTCACAAAGAGCATGTGTATCAGTGTTCACGTTTTTATCATTCCTAGTTAAAGGTATAGTGTTAAAACAGTTTATGTTATGTATTTCTTTATCACTGCTGTATTAATTCTGCATATGACATATATGACTGTAAGTGTACTTTCAAAAATTGAGGCATCATGCTTTTGTTTTGTGCACAACTTGAAGGTTATAAGAAGCGTTTAACAGTGTTTCCTCAGTTTTAAGGGTCAATGCTACCGTAAAGACATAGCTTATAGCAAAAGGTTATTTATTTTGTCATAAGTCTAATATACCCAAAACATTAAAGTTAGATAATTAGTAATATACTGTTTACTAATAGAGTATTTCATTAAAAATTTATATTAATTTTCTCCATGCATTCTATTGTTGATGCCAAGTTATTGTTTAAACAATAGCATATCACTGCCAGTTGAGTTGAATCTTTTTTTGAGAGCATAAATAAACTTTTGAAAAGACCCACTCATGAAGAGATAGTCAAATGTTGATAAAAATATATCTCAAAAAATGTTTTAATGATGTTACTTGAAATTTAGAGGCATAAAAAAAAGATATTATGAACTAATTCATGATTGTATGTACACAGTGAGATGTTCAAAATACAGTTAGGATGCCATCTAAATGACTTGTGAGATGTAGAGAACCAAACTTCTGCATCTAACACAACAATGGCAAATTCAGTATTCACAATCTTTCATCATGTAAAGAATAATTTTATGAGAAAGTTCTTGTGTTATTAGAAAACTGTTGTAATCCATTATCTTTTAGCATTTTTTACTTAAAAATAAAATTTCATAAAAAGTAAATTATTAATCACATAGTACACAGGCTTTGTAGTGTGTCCTTACCACGCACTACTAGCTATAAAAGTATCATTAATTCAGAATCCAAAACTACAAAGAAACAGATTTCTTTAGCTTATTTATTCATACATTTATCTTGTGAATTTCTCTCTTACTTTTTACATTTTATTAAATAAAGTCATTGCAAATCACCCTGTTTTGTAAGCTTTTAGTTTAAAATTGTGTATCTCATTACATCCAAAACTTCAAATTGTATACCTCTAAACTTTTTACAGAAACGGCTTGTGGCAGACAAAAGATATAGTGAGAGAAGACTGGATGTATTGTCAGCTTTAGTTTTAGCAGAAAAGGCTCTAAATGGACCAGGTTGAATTTTTATTGCAACAAATCAGAAACTGTTAAATAATACTAATAGTTTCATATTATTCTTTATTTAATACTAATGATAAAGTCTTTAGTGTTATAAACAGTAAAGAGATTCGAGTTAAAGGAATGTATTGTTAGCTTTAATTTGATTTTTCATTTGACATAACTGAAACTTCATGCTCATAAAAAAAATCATCTTGAACCCATCATATAATAGAGATATTATCAAGACTGCTTTTAAATGAATTCTATAAGTATTTTTATAAAATATTGAAAACTAGGTTTTAAAACATTTAGTACCTTAAGTTAAAGTATCAGAATGGAACTTTTACTAAGGATTTTCCATTGTGCTATAGGAACCAAGGAGAGACGGCTAATTACACATTTGGCCATGGCTTTGGGAACACAGCTTGTAAGTTTAAGCTTGATTGTTATATATTCAACAGTTTTTCTCAAGCCCAACATATTACACTCCTGTCAAATATTTCAAAATATTTTTTTAAGTTTATTGACATGTGATGTTGAATCTTAACCCACACAAGTAAATTTGTTGATTGACTAAAATAACAGCACAAAAAAGGTAGAATTAATTGTCATTTAAAAACAATATTTGTGTGTTTGAAAAAGCTCTTATGAAGTGTGATACTGATAAATCATATCATATTCTTGCTCATTTTAATGATGAAATATTTATTTAAAAATAAACAGTTTTTAATGTATGTGCAAGCCAAATTTTCCATTAAAAAAGCTTAAAGAATAAAACCTTATTATTATGATTCAAACTGAAGTTATCATATTGAAAATTGATGGGTTTAAAAGGTAAAATGGAATTATTCAAATTTTTATTTTTGAAATGAATGTTAAACAGAAGAATAATAAAAAAGTTTTCATCATAAAATTTGTTACAAACTAAGTCATGTCACAACAGTTTGTAAAATTAATTCTGGATTCTACAGTTAGAAGCAGAAGTACTTTAGTTAAATCAGTTAAAATTTGAATATTATTTTTATGCTTTGTTAAAAATGGATTTTGAAGTTTTTATCATAAAATCAAAGGATAATATTTAAGATTGATCTATGGTGTTAATTCTTTTCAGCAACTTTTATCCTTCTTATTCCATTCTATGGGTTGGTTAATTTAGATGGGAACTATGTTGGTTGCATATTGGTAGAAAATATAAGATATCTTTAGTTACTGTTCAATTTACTAACTGTTGTGTTTTGATTTCTGATATTTGTATTAATAATTAATAAACAATATTCCTAAGTTGTAGTATGTGTCCTAGACAAATACCTTAAGAGACATAAGTTAACAAAAGGAAAGGAAACACAAAGAACATTTATAAATTTAAACAAAAAAAAATCAATTTAAAATATATACTAATAATGTCTTTTAGTTTTGCTTGTGTTTCAAGATTTTTTTTGTTGAGAAACCAGAATAGTGAATTTTATTCATCGTTTTCACTTAAAAATACATTTTGTTCTTTTTCTGTTTCTTTTCTCCAGCATTCTGAAGATTTTTGAAGTTGCCATATTTTAATTTATATATGAGAGATATCACCTAACTTATGTGGAGGTTTTTGGTAATACTTTTAAGCTATTGTTTTATTCTTTGTTTTTTTATTTGTAGAAATCATTTAAAGAAGATGAAGTGATAAGCTTTAATTCGGTTATGAGAAAGCTGGATCTGATATGTGAACTCAGAGAAAAGTATGTGAACATCAACCATTAGGATATTTTTAGTTATGTAGAATAATCAGTAAATGATTTAAACGAAACATTAAATGTGTTGGGTAAATTAACATTTGATCATCTTTAATTATTGTATTTATGTGTTTTGCTAGATTTGTTGAGAAACTTACATCACTATGCTGTAATTTTTCTTGAATTACATTAAAAATTGAGGGTTTCAAGAAACTTTTACATCTGTTTATTAATACAGTAATCTGATTTTCTGTGTGTTACATTTCTCTAGACTTGTTAGTTAACTATCTCAATATGGGCTTGGTTAATCTGACTACCATGTGTCCTTTTAGTACTTGTGTAAAGTCTTTCTAGATTTGCTACTACTAACTTTTAATATAGTATGTATATCTTGATGAAATTTGGCAGTCTTTCAGTAAACATTATAAGTCTTTCACGTACAAAATATCATATTTTTAGTGAAGTATTTTTAATAAACTAAAAAAAAAAGATTTGTCCACGAGTATATCAAGTAGTTGTTTTGACTAGTTTGTGTGCAAAGTGATTTTCTTGTGAAGATTAAAAATACTTTTCTTTATCTCAGAAATCTCAAATTCCATTTGTGTAATCTTTAAAACTTCCTAAATACATTTCAAATGTTTATTTTCAGTAAAACTTTATATTTTATCAGTTATTCTCTACCCTAACTATACAAGGCTGGTCAAGTTGACTGACCTCGTAACCACCAAAAAAAAATCTAAATAAATCTAAATTACCCTTTTTTCTTTCTAGAATGACTTCAAATTGTAGCATAAAACTAAACTCGTAACAGTATACATCAATTAATATTTACATTTTATTGTTTTATTGCCCTTTGAACTGTGTCTAACTACTGTTCGTGCCATTATAAGTTGTAAATGACTTGTGGAATCTGGAGCACATGTTACACTATTGAATTACATTATCCAGGAGCTGCTCATGTGGGTGCCTCATGAAATATTTTTATTATATTATTGTTATTATGTATTTTATTTAATCTAACCTTAAATAACCTAAAGTTATCCCTATTTTTACATTTTAGCTACTTTTATAATAATAACTAAAGAATAAACATGAAAACAAGAAATAAAGTACTTACCCAGGTCTTTTTTTTTTTGCTGTCAACTGTTGATGACACATAACCCTATTTTTTTATACTAATGGTAGTGATGCACTAAATTTTTATTTAATTAATTAAATAATGCACCAAAGAACAAAGAATAATAACATGCAAAATGCAGACAATTTCCCCTAACTATCACACTTTTTCTGGCTTTCTAACTATGCTACAAGAGCCATTACAAGTTCATCCAAGTTAGTCATTATCTTTCCTGTGGGAACAAAGCTTGTGCTAAAATAGAAATTGACAGTTCTCTGTTCAGAACACAGCATAATATGTCATATGATAGATGAAAATCTTGACTTTCTATTGGTTATAGATAATATGGAATTAAACATAAGAGAGAACTATTAGCAAATCCTGAAAGAGAGGATGTGGCAAGAGGGGTTTGATTTTCTGTTTGATTGCTCTGTAACCAAATAAAACTGAAACCTATAAAAATTATGGTTTTTCTGAGCAATGAAGTTTTTATAGTGAGTAATTTACATTAAATTTCATACTTTTTCGAGGGGGTTATGGATAAAATAGGGAAGATGACATGCTAAGAGAAAATGTGTCACATGGGTCACACTGGGAGAAATTCAGGATTTTTTAAAATATTGCCTTATAAAATTAAGAACTTAACTTATATACTATTAAAATATGAATTATTAGTTACGATTTTATGCTATGCTAATTGGTATAACATAAACAGAAAGTAGTTTAATAAAATTTTGAATATAAACCACTAAAACCTTATGACATGCACAGTAAATGATGCCCGGGCAGATAGAGTTAATACTGATATCTAAAATAGCTAAAATACGATGTTAATGTAAGCAAAAGATAAAAACACAGTGTTACTTACTGTAATACATATAATCATGTTACTGTGTTTGTTTATGTGTAGTTTTTGGGCTTTTTGTTTATATTCCATATATTTACATTTTCATGATTTTTGTTAAGACTCCAGGGGGCCTGTGATTGCAGTTTTATGTACTGGCATCGAGTTGTTTTCCCAACATATGTCACTGATCTCTATGAAAATGCAGAAGGTGGTCACCGCATACATGTAAGTTTCGATATATATTCTTGTATAATATAATTGCTTATCTCTCTGTAGTTCATCAGAAGTTGTGAGGAACTGGCTAAAGTAACTTTGATACAATTTGGTAAAGGAACTCGGGCTGAAAACCAGTCATATCATCTCTATCATGAAATTTATCTTTATCTAACGACTATAGTTATTTGTACTCATATTATGTTTTTTATGATACCAAATACCATCTAGATAATAGTTCTGCAAAATCTCTACCATCAAATTAATGTACAAATTAAAACTTAACTGAAACATTCAGATTTATAATTTTGGTTTTGAGGTATATTTTATTAACATTTTTGTTTTGATTTTTGCCCCACCCTCTCTGCATGAATTGTAATTTTTATTTAGGGAGTAGAGATATTTAAACTTCCCACTTGCAAAGATAAAGCTTGTCCCCATACAAATTAAAGCTACAAAACTTTGTACATGTTTGTTGTTTATTTCTAGCTCAAATAGTTTGAAAATAGTGAACTTGTGAAGTTGATGGTGTCAAAATCTGGAAAATTTAACTTACTACATTATTTGCTTTGCAACTTGCAAATATCTATCTAAAGTTAGCAAAATAATAAATAATTCTTCTGAAAGTTGGCATTATGTTCTTCCTTTGAGTTATTTCTAAAATTTTAGTTGTTTAGCCAGAAGCCTTTTTTCGTTGTATGCATTCTAATAGTAATATATATATATATATATATCACAGTTTTGTATTTTTGTATGATATGTAAAACTTATAATTTGATTTTGTTTACTTTTCTGGTTGTTTATTTATTTTGTTAAAGAAATTGCTTTGGTAGTTACCATTCCTTTTACAAGAAATTTCTGCTTTAATTTGAAACTATGGAGTTTTAAGGTGGATTTCCCATTGGTGCAGACTTTTTTTCTTCAAGAACTACACTGATGATAATTAATGTACTTTCTTGAACACATATATAAAGCATCATTCTTTCATTGTTATTACATGTATTTTTAACCCTATCCAAAAATCTATCTTATTTGTGTAGGCTAAAAATTCTTTCACCTTAATTTTCATTTTTGTTCCAAAGGAAATACATACTTTCTCAAATTACGATATTAGACAGATTTTATGTTGATTTTATATATTTAGGCTGTCATATCAGAGGATGCTTCCCTTCTTTTGTTTTAAAGTTTAACCCATTGATTCTAATTTACAGTACATGTTTGGAGCACTAAGAGATTGTGTCCCACCCATGCTTGTCACTCAACATGAACTGTCTCCTCAGGTTTTACTTGATAATTTTGACAAGGAGATATACGGACATTTGAAAGAGGTGTGCATCATGTATTTTTTTGTATTAGTTAAATTAATCATTTTCCTGATTGTTAATTATTAGTGAACTTTAATTTATATATTTATATAATAGGTTGAATATAGTTGTTTAACCCTACTTACACAGAAGTGGCCCTTTCACACATCATGATATTTACTATGTTAAATTCAAATATTAATGAAACAACATTATCAGTGTATGTCAATAAAATTCACACCAAACTGAGTTTATCATTCAGTTGCTACTATTATCTAAGTTTTAATTTTTTTTATTTCAAAAGAGAATATTTAAAAACTCTGTTTTCATTTTTCTTTAGAACATAATGTTTCTGCACTCCATGTTCTCTATTTCAGATTTGTACAACTTCAGTAGTAGGCTTATACAGTTTCCAACCAATTAGAAACACAAAATATACATAACTTAAAGCAAAACATAATATTTGAATCTCTTACCTTCTTGATTTGCTGAGATATCAATATATGTATCAAACCCTCTAGAGAAGGCCCTCCTATCTCTCTGTCCTTCAAGATTCATTGCTAATCACCTTTACATGGTTGATGAATAAGTTTGTAACCAATAAGAAGATCAGATTCTCCTCTGTGTAAAGCTTATTACAGTTATTTCATTTTGACATGCATATATATATATATATATAAAGTTGGGCATAATTTCTTTGGCTGTGATGACTGTTATCTTACTCTGAACAACTAACAGAATATTTTGAACCTATTTATAGCTTAGTTAGAAAACCAGGTAAATTATAGTAGTTTTTTTTTGACATTCTATTCTAGTGACTGATATATTTTTTGCATTCTAAATACATATTTGAAAAGTAAATGAATTGGACAACCAACTTAGTGACAAAAAGTGAGAGCTACCACAGTTACATCAGTGAATGCAAAATTCACATGCTGTTTATGAAAAACAACTAGTGGGCTCTTACAGTTGTTTTTGTTGGAGGGATGAACTGCTCCCTTAGTACAAATTCAGGCAATAAAACCATAAAAATAAAAGAAAAAATGTGCAAAACTTTTGATATTCATTTGGGAGACTAGAGATTATACAAATGAAATATAAGGACTGTAAGATGAAAATATGTATCACTATTCTTAATATGAAAACCATCTTTCACTCATTCTGACAAGTAAAAAGTTTGTAAATTCACAGACAAATCTTCAGTAAAAATACCTTATTAACTCTGTCAACATGGGCTCAGTCAATTTGACCAACCACGTGACGACCTCTTTGTACTTGTTTAAAGTCTTTATAAATTTAATACTTCTAACTTTCAATATAGTGTGTATATTTTCACTAAATTTGGCAGGCTTTCGCTTAATATTATAAGTCTTTCACATATAAAAAATCATGATTTTTAGTGAAGTATTTTTAACATTAGAACTTAAAACTTACATACTATTAAAATATGGATTATTAGCTAAGATTTTATTTTTTCTAATTGTAACATAAACAAAAAGTAGTTTAATAAAACTTTGAATGTTAGACACTAAAACTTTGTATCATGCACAGTAAAGAACACCCATGGTGATAGGGTTAAAAAGGCTGATTTTTGGTGTATAATAGACTTGTAATGTTTACTAAAAGCTTGCCGAAATTCAAGAAAATGTACATATTAAATTATTATTTCAAGAGTTTTAGTATGTATAGCTTCAACATTCTGGGTGTTGATTCTATGTACTGAACTGTGGGCATAGTGTTAATAAGTATTCATAAGCAAATTAATTTTGAAAATGTCAAAATAATTTCATGACTTGAATTTAAGTGTATGCTATAAGAAATAGTTAATAAATATAAAAGTAATTGTGAGAATATTGTATTAGTGTACAAAAAAGATACATTATGTTTTACAATCAAGCTGTTTTAGTGAACAGAAATATGGCGTAAATCTTTTTTTTTTCTCTAGCACCTACTTGATCCCCTGTGTCGAGATATTGAAACAGACCTCAGACTTCATTCACACTCACACCTTCAACTGGATGACAGAAATCCTTTTCGTGTTGGACTTAAAGCTTTTTCTCATCTCTTGAAAGTCCGCCCAATCAGATTCTTTGACAGGCTGATAGATATAAAAGGTAAAATAAGATCTTTGGACTTTAATAATATGTTTTTAACAGATTCGTTAACCCTTTAACTGCTCCTATCAGGTATACTCGATTCTCATATAACTTCCTGTGTCGCTCTGATCAAGTATATTCTTTTTTGGGGTTTTATGTCAATCACTGCTCCTACAGAGTAAACTCAATTGAGCAGCTGTTCAGTGCTGACATATATCACTCCTTTGGCCCAGTAAATGTTTTCTTTCTTCTGTTTTATTCAAAGCACCTGCATTATCTTATGTCAGTGTGAGGTAGAATGTACCCAATCATGGTGTCTCACAACATAAACAGAAAGCATTGTGCTCTTACAGAAATTTAAATTTCTGATTTAGCTGGAACTCCTGAATCTGATTTGGAGGAAGATTTAGAATTTGAAATGGATAAGGAATATACAAATAGCAGTGAAAGTGAAGATCTGTGTGAAGATGATGTCAATGACAAATGCTCACACATATTGTGTTGACATAAAAAACAATGACTTGGCACAAAACTGCAAATAAATAAAAGAATTAACTCTCCCAACATGAGGTCGGTCAATTTAACCGAATCACTTGACCTTTTGTACTTGTTTAAAGTTGATATTAATTTAATACTTATAACTCTCTGTATATTGGGTATATCTTCACAAAATTTGGCAGTCTTTCAGCTAATATTACAAGTATTTCACATACAAAAAGTCATATTTTTTAGTGAAGTATTTCTAATAAAACAAAATGAAGTTTTGTCCATGAATATATTGAGTGTTTGTTTTGAATAGTCCGTGTGCAAAGTAATTTTCATGTTAAAATTAAAAATACTTTTCGTCATCTCAAAAATCTCAAATTTCCTTTGTGTAATCCATAAAACCTCCTAAATGCATTTCAAACGTTTTTTTTTCACTAAACCTTATAGTTTATGTTATTTTCTCTACCCTACTTCAAAACAGAATTGGTCAATTCAACCGACCTCGTAACCACCAAAAAAAAAATCTAAATTAACCTTCTTTTCTTTCTAGAATGACTTCAAATTGTAACCTGATACTACATTCGTTTATCCTAAGTAGCTCTAAGTTCGTAACATTATACATCTATTTATAATTGAATTTTTATGTTTTATTGCCCGTTGAACCAAGTCTAACTGCTATCCCTGCCATTATAAGTTGTAAGTCACTCTGGGAACGTGCAGCTCACGTTACACTATCGAATTACATTACTCATGAGCTGCTCGCATGCGTGCTTCGTGAACCATTTTAATTATATTATTATTATTACTTATTTTACCTAATCTAGTCTTAAATAACTTAAAAAGATCCATACTTTTAGTTATTTTTATAATAATAAATAAATAATAAATATGAAAAACAAGAAATAAAGTACTTACCCAATCTTCTTTTCTCTTGCCCTCGATTGTCGAGGAGAGTTAAACCTGATTTTGTTTAATGATTATAGTAAAGCACTTAACAATTTTTATTTACTTAAATAATACACCAAAGAATATAGACTAATAACATGAAAAAAGTAGACAAATTCACTTCTAAAAATTTTCCTGGCTTTCTAACTATGCAGCAAAAGCCCTTACAAATTCATCCAAGCTAGTCATTAACTTTCCATGTGAACGATGTTGCTACTCCAAGTGAAATTGACGGTTATCTGTTCAGAACACAAGGTTATACAATACGTCATTTGATAGATGTAAACCTTGACTTTCTATTGGTTATAGGTAATATATAATGAATAGTAAGACTGAACTATCAATGAATTGTGAAAGAGAGGATATGATAAGTGGGTGTGGCAGGAAGGGTCTGATTTTCTAATCGATAGCTCTGTAACCAGAGAAAATTGAAGGCTATAAAAATTATGGTCTGTTTTAGCAATAATGATTTTATAGAGAGTATTTTACATTTAATTTCGTACGTTTTCGAGGGATGATGGATAAAATAGGAATGATAACATGCTAAGACAAAATGTGTCGTGTCGCACTAGTGGAAATCCAGGATTTTTTTATATATTTCCTTGTAGATT